ATAATCAAATGTCTTTTGACCAATAAAATATATCAGAATCTGGTAGCCTGTCTGTGCTACCAGAGTATGCTAAAGTGAGTGTTCATCCTGGAATGACGGTCATTATACTATGCATAACTTTAATCTGATTATTGGATTGTAAATAGTAACATGTTAGAATACTTGTTACTGAAACAAGGGTCAGATTAGAGTAACGCATTACTGATATGTTGATGGCATAAATAGTTTGACATTTCTGTTACAGTTTCCGTTCACAAACTACTGTAATCAGTCCAGTTAAATCTAAACTTGGCAACTTTTTCTTTTTCAACCCTAATAAATGTGATATTCAGTTGACCTGTTATGACACAGATTTTGGCTGTCCGCCTCTCTGCTGCATCGCTGTGGAAAACCTGGAGCAGCAGAGAAATCTGAGGCTTATATATGAATGTTTACTGGTTTAAAAAAAACACTGGGGATGTGGCTTATAGTCCAGTGCGGCTCATAGTTAGGAAAATACGGACTATAGAGCTTGGGAGCGTGACGTCACTGCTCTAGTCGGAGGGGTGTCAGCGCCATCTTAAATGCCACCGACAAAAACGACTCTCTCGCAGATATTTTAGCTATGAGACGAACTTGCTGCGTTATTGGGTGTAATGTCCGATCACACTACTGAAACGGTAAAAAGATGGAAAACGGACTTTCGTTTCACTATTTTCCTGCTTGGAAACAACGAGAGGAGGCTAAGTTAACGGAGCTAACTAAAAGAAGACGAATGTCCTGGTGTCCGCGGCTGAGACGTCCTGATGTTACCTTCTCCAACATCCCCAGATACCTACAAGTTTGCTCCAGACATTTCCATTCTGGTGAGTGTCTAAATTCGCTTTGTTAGTGTTGTCATCATTTATTTTGCTATTACTTTGTCCGGGTGTACTCATGATCAGTTCCTGTTGTTCATTTAAGTGGGTCAACCTTGTTTAGGTCGGGCTAATATTGTTTATGTAGCATAGTCCGAGTTTTGTCAGTGGACATCGAGGTTCTTACATTATTGTGAAGTAAACTATTTTACTAGTGTTATCAGATTTACAGCATTAATACTGATGTGTGTTCTGATATGTCCTCTTAAAGGCAAACCGACGTATGAAATGGATGAGCTCAATCCTGACTGGGTTCCAGTGCTGAATATGGGTCACTGAGGTAAACGACACATCAGACCGACATGGGCGTCAATTAAAGAGGCGATACAGCAAAACCATCAACAAGTTACTGAGACTGTTTTTATTATTTACCCCAGAAGAGGTAATTAATGCCACAAGAGGCTGTAGATGAGGAGCAAGTTGGAGAGGCTGACGAGGAAACGCCAGGAGAGGAGCTCAGCAAGGCTGCAGGAATATGTTGGAAGTGGCTGTTTTCTCTCATTCAATAATTTCTTGTAAACATTCATAAAACATTTGATTCAAGCACTTCAAGTTGCATGTAAACAGGTGAAGAAATTAATCACATTTAAAGTAAAAATGTGATATTTAAAATATTTCAGGTAATAAACATACACATGATAAAATGTTTATTTAAAAATATAATCTATGTGATTAAAGTAAACAATTATATAACTAGACATCTGTCAGGACACTGGGTTTCTGGGTAAGTTTTGCTTTTCATTTTATTTAGCTTCATGTTTTAGTTTAGCCCAGTAGAGCCCAAAGTGGGTCCTGGAGGCATCTTGCATGTTTTAGTCTCTCCCTGGTTTAACACACCTGGATCAAATGATGCTCATTAGAGGCCTAAGTGGAACACCGACAAGCTGAAAAGGTTGTTTCTACCACCAGGGAGAGAACTAAAACGTGCAGGATGCTGGAGCTAGAGGACCGACTTTGGACACCCCTGGTTTAGCCCTTCATGATTCTTTTGATATTATTTGAGGTATTTAGTGTAGTTAGAATTATATTATTGCTTTCCTTATTTTCAGTCCTTTATAGTTTTTCTAGTTAGGTTAATTCTTTAGTTAAGGTCCTGTCCTTGTTTGTCTGAGTCCATCTCAAGCCTTCTTTAATGACTATAGTTTAATTGTATTTTATCCTTCTAGTCATTTCAGCCTCGCTGCAGTGTTTCTAGTAATGTTTATATATTTATTTCTTAATTTGATCACTTCAGTTGTTCTTCCATGTTCAAGTCTCTATATATATATATCTTTAGTAGTTCTAGTTAGATTTGTTCTTTGTTTAGATCTTCACCACGTTGCCAGTTGTTACCTTTGTTATCCGTTGTCTCCTGTTTCATAGTATTTTGGATTTCCTTGTTTTCCCTGGACTTTAGATTTAGTTTGTTTAGTTCATTAAAAATAACATCTTCATAAAGTACATCCACTGCCTGCTGCGTTTGTGTCCACCGCCACATCATGACACCAACCAGATGAAAGAGCCCATCTTTAGACATTTAATGTGTAATTAAAAAATAAAGGTGACAGATTTTATGAAATGGGTCACACTTTAATAGATATTTGTTGTAAACATGTAATGAAATAGATCCTGTCCTAGAAGGTGCTTATCATCTGAGGTAATACATTTTATGAACTTTTTTAAAAATATATTTTTAAAATATAAATTTGGTTAAAAAATAAAAAGGGTCAAAATGAAATAAAAATATGTCTTCATCTATATGGTCTAGTAAAACGATTTCACATAGATTTTGAGTTAATGGGGGACACGATTTGGAAGCTATTGAAGAAAACATTTAATATTTAAAATATTGAATATGAAGTATGACTATGGAGGATAGTGTGCCTCGTGTAATAGCATGAACTACCACGTTTTGTATTAGTTGGTCACAAGACAAGGCATTTATTTACAGGAGTGTTTGGAAATTGACGGTCTCTATGTGAACCTCTGATGCGCTTCAGGAGGCATCGGTAGAGAACAGCTGGCCGAAATTGGCGTTCATAAATCGGATCAACCTTGAGCTGAACGTCCCTTACTCCGCGGAGGGCGAATATCCAGTAACCAATTTGCAAAACAACTTTGCTGCGGTTGATGGTTTTCTCCCGATGATGTTTTTCTGGCTCAGCTCACGTTGGCTGATTTCAGAGCTGCTGCTGCT